GTTCCTTTTTTTCTTTTGCAATTTTTTTGTAATGCTTTATTTATTGGGCTAATTGTGGGATATCTTTTTGTGAAGGGGAATGTAGTGGATAGGCTTTGGTTTTATAGTTGTGTGATATATATACTAAGAGGAAAATACTAAATTATCGGAATGGTTCACATCACTTTTCGCATAACCAAATCTAAGTTCATATCAATTGAGAAATCGAGGCTGTAGCATTTCTCTATAGTATAATAATTTGTAGAGTTTTTAAAAGCTCGATTACACACAAGTTAATTCCGCTCGTGGAAGTTCGAACTTGAAATGAGTTAAGATCGCGATTGGATATAGATTATGCAACAACATAATAAAGAAAAATAAATGAAAAAAGTAGAAAAAAAAAAGAACAGATAGAATAATGAAATAATCTTGAGTTTTTAATGCATATGATGACTTAAATGCAATAACTAAAGTTGATATGGTATAAAAATAGTAAACTAATGAATGTAAATGACTGGTAGTTGCGATTATGTAAATGGATAATAATTTTATGGAAAAAATGTGTAACTTATGATTGACTTTTATTTTTAATTGATTAATAATATTTATGAAAAAAAATTAGGAATTAACGAATATTAATTAATTAAAACAATATAGCCAATCACTTTTCTTATGAAACACAATATCTGGTGAGATATAGTTGGATACAGTTACATCCTCGCTTATTCGATAAGCCAAGATTGTTCGCCAACAACAAATTATTAATATTATTAATTTTTTTATTTTTTTATGAATTTTAAACGAGATAGTCGAGCAAAAACTGCTCGCGAACGGCATGTTTCATTTTTACAAATATTAAGGTTTTAAATTATTAAACGAGTTGATGCAAGGCGAATTGAGCTTTCACGAGCTGAGCTTTATGCTCATTTGTAAAACGAGCACAAACTCGAACATGAGATGCTCACCTCGACTTCGGCTCGAATAACACCGCCTTAGTAGCTGGTCAAAGGTGATAAACTTCATAGTCATGTTGGATCATACAAACTTACTAAAATTACATAGCATATTTATTATAAATAAAGAAAACCTATTTTTAGCACTGAAAATCTGGAATATAATAATAGCATAAGAAAGTGGAGAAATATTAAAAAAAAAAATGAAGTGGGCCAAAAGGGAGCAGACAAGAATGGAGGGCAACCCACAGGCAGAGGCCATGGAAGGTGGGCCCACTAAGACGTGACTGGCCACGTGGGCATGTCTGAGGAGCCAATCCACACTGTGGATGAGTGGCCCAAATCGAGTTTCTGGGCCTCCGGCTATTTCATTCACTTATTATATTAGAAATGATTTATAAATAATTCTATATTTGTATAATCAACATTTTTAGTAATGTCTTGATTTAAATGTAACAGTTAATATGTGGGATTCTATATTAAATAATTAGCTTATATTTTTAACGATTACTATGTCATATTTTTCAACTATGTCATATTTTTCAACAAATATACGTATTATTTTTAATTAAAAAATTCAAGTATTATATTTTAAAAATAATATAAACACAAATATGATAAATTATTTTTGTTACCAGAATAAGAGGGGTCGATTCATCTGACGATTATTCTAATTCATATATTAATTTGTGAATCTGGTAATATTTGGGCAAAAAAAAAAAATTAAAATAAAATAAAATAAAATAATTTGTGCTTAGGACCACATTGCACTACATATATATTTTTCTGCCAAGTTATGGTCATCAGTAGACAAACATAATCAGTGTAGATTTTATATCATTTTCGGTGATGTTTATTTTTCAACTAGTACAATACTCGTGTATTACACGGGTGCTTGTTAAAAAATTACTCTTTAATTTTAAAATTAATGAGAAAACTATATTATATTTAGTTTACTTTTTTACAAAAAAAAATATGTTACTATATATTTTAGAATGATATGTGTTACTTATGACTTACATGTGTTATATTATATTAGTTTTTATAACTTATATCATATAACTACTTGAAATATAAATATATTAGTTGATAAATAATTTTATTTTTTAATTAATATTAAAAATAATTTTATTATTGTTATAAAGATAAATATAAATTATTTTTTTTATACATACAATATAGATGTTAAATTGAAGCTCATCAAAAGAAGATTAATTTGATATATTACGTATGTAAAACTGATAAAAAATACAAAAGTTATTAACTTTTAAAATATATACACAATTCAATAGTTATAATAAGGAATGATATTAAAATGTAATTAATACATGTAACATGACCATAAATAATCAACATATTTATGGTAATCCGAACCTAATTATTTTTGGTTTGGAATTAAATTAAAATTTATCCAAGCCTAATAACAAAGCATGTAATTTTGCCACATAGGATTCCGTAACACCAGAAACAGCCACGTATGTTCAGCGCGTTTTGGATTAATATACAGGGAGATAAGGGAATTTCCCATATGAAAAATACTTTTTTTTTTTTTTTTTAACGAAACGGAAATAATATTACTAAAACTCAGAAGAGTATGTACAAAGGGGATGTGCACATAGGCATCAGACTTAACTGACATACATGCAGCTAAGTGAGAAGAGGGGCTAAACCCCACAGAAACTAAGAACTAAAAGAACATCAACAAAGAAACAACAACAGCCTAAGAGAACCAAAGTACAATATGACAAACTAAAGGCAAACAACAAAAGAGCCAAATGCAGCTGATAAAATGAGGACCAGATGAATGCTAAACCACTGAGCTCAAAAGATCCTAGCTTAGCACCCATAGAATACAACTCCATTCCACCAAAAACACAAAAGGGAGAAATCAGACTGAATGATAATCCACTTCCATAAATTCCACCCATTCTCTCCTGGCTTGATTGGCAATATCAATATCAGACTTCCAAATGCTATTAAATATCCAAAGATTCCTGCATTTCCAAAGTCGCCATAGAATATAAGAGGAGAAGTGAATTCTATCATCAAAGTTGCTGGCTCTTTTCATCGTGCAAACCTCAGTCCACCAGCTTCTGAAGGTCAGATTAGGATTTTGGAAACTAGTCCCGTCCACACCGGCAAGTTTCCAAACATTAGAAGCTCGAGTACAGGAGAAGAAAATATGCTCGAGTGATTCGTCGCAAGCTCCACAAATTTTGCAGATAGGATCAATGGAGATTCCCTTAAGAGCAAGCTGATCTTGAGTACCCATGAATTTGAACCAGCAACGCCAAAGAAAGTTCTTAATTTTGTTTTTAATCTTCAGAGACCATGTAGTCCTCCAGACCTTGGATTCCATGAGATTGGCCTTGCTAGATTCTGGGAGTGTTGGCAGGACCTGTTTAGAAGCAAGGAGGAGAGAATATGCAGATTTCACAGTAAAAAGTCCTTGCTTATGGGGATGCCAGACTAACAGATCCTTCTGGCCTCTTCTTGTCAAAGGTGTGTTCAGAATGAGAGCTGCTTCTTCAGGGTTGAAAGTCTGTTCAATCAAAGTCTGGTCCCAGGTGAACCCATCAGAACACATGAGGTCACTAACCTTATTCAATCTCAGTCTGTCAAAAGAGAAACTCAAGGAGGGAGAGAGGTTTGGTGTGCCAGCAAGCCATGGATCAAACCAGATAGATGTGCTACAGCCATCACCAATTCTCTGAAGAGCACCTTTTCTCAGAAGGGATCTTGCATTAAGCCAGGTACTCCACATCCATGAGTCTGTAGATTTGTGTTGGCCTTCCCAAAGGGAGCAGTTATGAAAGTACTTGCCTTTCAGCACTTTTGACAACAGAAGGTCAGGGTGCTTAAGCAGCCTCCATAATTGCTTGGTTAATAAGTGATTGGTTGAAGGAGACAAGGCATTTGAATCCCAGCCCCCCTTTTTCTTTTGGCTTGGAGAGGTTCTGCCAAGAAGACCAATGAATTTTCTTGCCTCCGTCTTCTTTAGCTCCCCACCAAAAGTCAGCTTGAAGTCTGCAGATTTCTTTGCATATACACAAGGGTAGCTTGAAACAAGACATTGTAAATGTAGGCAGAGCTCCAATGACAGATTTAAGGAGAATTTCTTTTCCTGCTTCACTTAGGAAAGTGTTTTTCCAGGACTTGAGTTTGGATGCAACATTTTCAACCACATAACTGAAGGTGTTTTTCTTGGAGGAACCAAGGCCCAATGGAAGGCCTAGGTATCTGGTAGATTTTACGGTGGAAATCCCATTCAGAATCAAGGTAATCTCAGCTATGGTTGAAGGGGAGGTATTTTTGGAGAAAAAGACTGAGGATTTGGAGAGGTTAACCCTTTGTCCAGACTCAAGACCATATAATCTAATGATATTAGAAATGAGGACAGCATGAAGGTGATCAGCTTTGCAAAAGATGAGAGAATCGTCAGCAAAAAATAGGTGAGTCACAGAAGGGGAATTTCTACTGATTTTAAGACCATGAAAAGCTTGGGAAAGGGAAGCTTGTTTAATGAGGTTGGAGAAGGCTTCAGAGATAATAATAAAGAGATACGGGGAAAGAGGGTCTCCTTGCCTCAACCCCCTAGAAGGTTTTAGATTTCCAAGGGGTTGACCATGGATATTGAATGAAAATGAACTTGTTGAGACGCAGGTCATAATCCAAGAGATGAATTTAGGACAAAATCCCATTTTAGCACAGATAGCAGCCAGAAAAGGCCATTCAACACTATCAAAAGCTTTCCTCATGTCCAGTTTGAGAGCCATGAAGCATGAATTACCAGATCTTTTGCTTTTAAGATTGTGAATGCATTCATTAGCAATGACAAAGTTGTCAAGAAGCATTTTGATATCTATCCGCATTTTGACCAATTTGGCAATAATGTAGACCTCAACTTATATTTTACCATATGTAAGATTTTCTTTTGCCTTTAGTGTGTGTACACACACACACATGTATTCCATGTGCAAATTGTTTGAACTTCTCAATTTAAAACCTCATCCTTACTCATGTAACCATAAACCTTCAATAATAAATTAGTTTTACCTCGTGCATTTGCACGAAAAATGATATAATAGAAGAGGAAGTAATTAAAAATTTAAAATAAAATAAAAATCATAACTTAATAAATGAAAAAAAATAATTTAAAAAAGAGAATTTAAATATTATTAAACACTTATTTACATCACAACAAATCATTATCGTTAAACTTCTTCGACTCATGACTCTAGGATTTGATTTTTTAAAATATTTTATGTATCTTTGTAATATTCAAAAACAATATTTTTTTATTGTATTACCGCAGTAGAAAATAGAGATATTGTAGTTACTTTTAATTAGTTGTGAAATATTTATTTATATAATACCAAAAAAAATATATTGTATCAATATAAAAGCAAAAATGTTTTGTCTTTCAAGACATAAAAATGCGTTACAAAAATGTGCACCCATCCAAAATGTGTCAAAATAAATTGTGTAACTGTAAGTTACATATTTTTTCAGGAACATATTTTATTAAATAAACATCTATTTTTATTAAATGAACTTATATTATTATTAAATGTTGGATGAATAAAATTTACTGAAACTTACCAACAATTATATATATAAATATAAATTACATATACCTCTTTTTTATGCGTTCCACATGTTTTTTACTTACTTTAATATTAATATTATAAACTTATATTTGTTTAACTTATGGGGCTATATGTCTTACCTCTCCTACCTACAACTATTAACGGCATCCTCCTCCGCCGCTTCCACTAGAGGGCCCGGGTGTGCTAATTGCAGGTCTGCAGCCAGATCCTAATCCAGCGGCGGAAATGACGCGAAAGCGTGAGCAGTTTACCCAGTTTGGTCCCTTGGTAAAAGAGGGGAATGCCCGAGAGAGCGTTAACTTTATAAATTACCCTACTGGGGTGTTGTACAGTCAAATCTCATTAAATTTTATAAACCTCAAAGCTGTGCAGTTTAATACTAAAGCTTTGGAAGTTGAGTTTTTAAGCCTCTTCAAAAGCTACCATTAAAGATGCTCAGAAATAGACGTGTCATAATTGGGTACAATTGCAGTAGTTTGTAAGAACCAAGGGGGCGTGGCTTGCAAAAACATTTACTACTATCGTTCTTTTTTCTTAACCGAACGATAGACATAAATTAACTGAATACGTACAAAATCCGAGAGGCCCAATGACTAATACACAACCAGGAGTTCCATAAGAGGGAACTAAGCAACACAAACAAAGATAGCCTAACTAAATGGCAGTAAACTTACTGAAGCCTTTAGCTAAACTATCAAGGCAAACCAACAAAAAGAGAGACTAGCCACTGAACCAAAGTACCTAGCTAAGGAGATACATGGGGTAACAAGAGGGGAAACCAGAGCAACTAACAGAGAGAACTACCAAACAAAACTGAGAACCTACACTAAACAGAACATATTAAACATAGATTACAAAAGATAATTCCTGCTCGAGCAGAGCTTACTTGATGGCCTCCTTCTCTGGCAACCGGGTCCTTTGGAAAATCTATAGGTTTCTGATTTCCAGAGCCACCAAATGATGTATGTTGTTAGTGTTAGAAATTTTATTGGATAACACATGCAAATTAAATGTGTTTAGTTGTAATAATATTATTCGATTAAAGTGATCTACTAATTTGTAATTTTGAATAAAGAGAGTATTAAATTGTTATGGATTTAATAAAAAAGATACCATTATGGGATTTTCTATTTGTTGAGGGACCGAATTGAAAATCAATAATTCTTATTTATTTGGTATGACCCCAAACGACGAAAAGGTACGAGCAGATTTCCGAAGAGGCGCTTTCTCCCTTTAAAATCACCGACATTTCAAGATATACATAAGAAATACATATAGATAATATACTCTATAGTATACTACAATATATGCTATAAAGTTTCGATCGTTTGGAAGACCATACCAGCCCAACAAGATCATTTGGAAGAACACAACACTCTAGAAAACTGAAAAACACGAGAATACTCAAGCAAATGAATCCATGAAGTCTGGTACGCTTCCGCTTTTATTCGGTTTAATTCTCAATTATTCGACATGAATGCTTCTGGAATTAAAGCGATATTTTGATTCGCATAAGGTTAAATAAAATTCAACAAGTGGTATTAGAGCCTCTTCATGTTGAATATTTGAGAATCAATTTTTGTCTTTCGATTCTGATTCTTGAATTATTCATGTGGATTCATTGGGATCATGATATGGTGAATGCTACGAATTATTTTTTTTTTTTGGTTTTTTGCTTTGAAATTAAAGCATGTAGTTTTTTACAAATTTCATACAAATATTATTGGCATATTCGGTCTTGCCATTTGTAGATAAAATCTGAATGTATGTGAAGTTTAATTGGTTGTTTTGGAACACATACATGAATTATTTCAGAAAATCAATATTGGTGTTTATTGGTTGGAATATATCAAACTGTGAATAATGGTGTCCCTACTTCCCAAATTGCATAATGTCAATATTGATTTGGATTCAATTCAATTGTTACGCTTTTGGTGAGAATTTTTATTTATTTATTTATTTTTTTATGTGAAATTGTGGGCCAATATTCAAGTAATTTTTCTGCCATGCTTTAGTGATATCTGACATCAATGTGCTTCGTGCGAGAGTGGTATATCGCATTCTTACTCAAATCCAATACGCTCTGACTATCGCAAGGGATATCGTACCTTTCCTGCTCCATTCCCAATTGTTGAAAGAACCTCTTCAACCAAAGCATTTCTTTTCATGCTTCTGTTAATGTATTATACTCTGCTTCAGTAATCCGACAAGGAAACAAATTTCTGCAATTTAGATTGCCAAGATACAGCTCCATCTGCAAATGTAAACACAAATCCTGAAGTAGATTTTCTACTATCCAGGTCACCGGCCATATCCGCATCTGTATAACCTTCAAGAACTGTGTTTCCTTTGCCGAAGCTTAAGGACTTATTTGCACTGCCTTTTAGGTACCTCAAGATCTACTTCACAACTCCCAATGATCTTTCCCTAGATTGGAAAGATACCTCCTAACCATTCCAACCGCGTGAGCGGTATCTGGTCTTGTACAAACCATGACATGCATCAAACTCCCGACAGCTGAGGAGTATGGAACACTCGCCATAACTTATTTTTCTTCTTGAATCGTAGGACAACTTCTTTTATTGAGTTTAAAGTGATTGGCCAATGGTGTATTGACTGGCTTAGCCAATTTCATGTTGAATCTCTCGAAAATCCGATTCACATACCGTTCTTGCGATAACCATAACCTCTTGGATTTTCGGTCTCGCATGATCTGCATGCCCAAAATTTGTTTCGCAGGGCCCAGATCCTTCATTTCGAAGGACTTTGCTAAATCCTTCTTCAGATCACCAATCAACTTCATATCAAGTCCCACTATCAACATATCATCTACATATAACAAAAGGATAATGATTTTATCACCTGGAAACTTATTAACAAACACACAATGATCTGCATCAGTCTTGGTATATCTATGGCTCGCCATAAACGAGTCAAATTTCTTATACCACTGTCTAGGAGCTTGTTTTAGTCCATA